AAAACAAAACCCACGTGTGTGATGCTGTGGAGACGCTGGGTGCTTCGTGCTCCCGTAATGCTTTAAACGATCCCACCTGGCTAAGGGCTTTTCTCGTTCGGTCCTCTCCCCTGAGAAAGGCGCTTCGTTTTCCTCTCTGTCGCGAAATAAAGCCAGCCCTACAGTCCCACCGAGACGGGATGCAGGTACGGTTTTGGGGAGAGGTGACTGCAAGCAAGGAGGATTTTAGTTTCGGGGCTGGGGACGGGTCAGCCCTTTTCTAGGAGCGTTAGGACCCGCAGCCCAGCGGAACGCCGACGGTCGCTTCCCCCAGGCGGTGGGTGGGGGAGCGCAGTCCGGGCCGGGACTCTGTGGGTCTCAAAGATCCCCAGAAGATGCTGAAATTTCGTGTAGGAGATAAAATGAGCCTTGGGGGGAAAGATAGGGGGGCTGAAAGTTTGTCGAGTTTTCAGCAGAAAAGTGTTTTATTTTTCTTAATTGTCCTCTTATTTTCAAAGAAAGAAAAACAGTGAAGGACGGAGTAGAGAGATAAGCAGCAGCATGGCAGCCCATGCAGAAGACTATGTAAGGAGCTTTTAAGTACATCTTTAACTTTATTTTGCAAACATCTACCTGCATATACTTAAAGGTGCTTTCTTATATGAATGCAGCAGCGCTCAGAGCTGTCAGTCATTTAATGGAAGTAAATATAAACAAAGTCTTCAATTTTCCAACTTTATAAATAGCGTTGTTTTCTCATAATCAGTCCTCCAGTGCTTCAAATGTTTTTGCCTGTGTTAAATCTCTGCTGTGTTTGTTTCCCGTATCACCGCAGCTCGAATCGCTGCTCATTGATGCCTTTAAGGGGAAGGGGTACCAGAAGATAAGCGACTTGCTACAAGAGAGAGAAACAGACACACTGCAAAAGTACAGCAACTCTCTCCTTAGCCAGCTCGACAAAGCACTGAGAAGGGTGAGTCCCACAGCCTGTGTACGAGAGCTGATCTTACTCACCCTGTAATGCTGCCCCTGTTACCCATGGACTGGGATGACAGAGCATGGCTCCACGTCTTTCCACAGGAGCTGGACAGGAATGACTTCCACAACGTGTCCCTTCTGCTGAAGTGTATCCAGCTCTACTTCAAGAGTGATCTCCAACAGGGGACGAGCTTGTTCATTGAGCAAGGACTTGTAGAAAAGATGAGTGTAACACCCTAAGCAAGTTACTAATGTAACCTAGAGTTGCTTAGATGAGGGGAAAGGATCTGTAGTGAGGGCTAGAATATGGCTTATATGGTTCTGCCAAAAGTAGTTTTTTTCCAGGTATATTTCATGATCTGAGCAAGGAAAATCTACTTCCTGACATTGTTTTCAATGCAAGAACTAATATTATGGTTGTACCTATCACCTAACTTAACAGGCCTGTGATTTTTTTTTTTTTAAGCTGACAGTGAAGGGAGAGGATGAGTTGATGAAGCTCATTTGTGAAGTAATAGAAATATAATAAATAGTGTAAATATAACATTTAATATTATAATAGAATAAATTTGTGAAATATTCTAATTAAATTTCAAGTGCTGCAGCAAAATACTATGTTAGCAATGGAACTGATGAGCAATTTTGTGCTTTTATAACTTCAAATGCTGGATGTGCTCTCTCAGCAGGTCTGTTTTTTAAGTTTAGTGCAGCATCTGCATTTAATTTGTAATTGTATTTTCTCTAATCAGCATAGTGCTGCTTTCAGCTGGCATCAGTTGTAGCAGAAGAAAGGCACCTGTGTTTGAGATTAATGCCAGGCTCTGATAGGGCTCTGTTAACAGGGCTGTGTCCAGGAGTCCTCTGCTAAACTCACTGCACCAATGCTTTGTAGTGATGCTTTTTAGGGATATGGTTGCTCCAAATTTCTTTCCAGATAAAACATTAACCAATTCTTGCTTGTCTGAGCTCTTTACCTCCAGAGATGCATAGATTTGTAGCTACTCCTAGGTGTGTGATGCTGTTCAGTGTCTTGACTAGCACATATTCGTAACATACAAAAGCAAAAGCTTGGAAAATCTCTTGTGTTATTTTACTTCCAAAATATTTGGAGCAGGTAATCTTGTAGCAGCTGTGATGCTGCAGAGCAACATGACAAGGGAGTCTTAGTCACCAAGGGCAGGTGCTTTGTGACCACAAAGCAGGGGAATACAGGGAGGAAAAGTGGTACAAGTGCTGCTGAGTGCTGTGAGAGTGGCAGTGTGTGCAGGTGGCAAACAAAACTCAGCTTCTTTACAGTATGTGGCTTTTAACACAGTACAGGGCTGTGAAATGCAGGAGTTGAGAGCAGTTCTGTGTGCATAATTTTTGCTGCAGATACATGTAGTGTAAGGTTTACTAGCTTGTCTTGCATGGCTTTAACTGATTCTCTTAATTTTTACATGGTATCTTGGTTTGAAAGAGCAAGAACGTTTGTGATCCTCATCGACCCAACTGAAAATAATTTTTTGATGGTACTTCTGGAAGACTTCTTTGACTCTGCATTGGTACGTGCATCTATTAAGGGGAATAGAAGGATTGTTGTTATTGTATATAAGATAGCCATCATTCACAAATAGTTTTCTATCAAGTGCAGATGCTTTTGCTGAGGTAGTTCTGGCTGTTTGTCCCTGTGCTATTTGAAACAAATTATTTACTCATGAAGACTGATCTGTCATTTAGTTCTTGTTTGCAGTATTCATAACTTTAAGCTTACTGTATCACTCGTATTCCAATAAGGAAAATGCTCCAGATCTCACTGTCTGCACACACACACTCTTGGGTATGTGTGTGAACTACTTGTGTGTGTGCAGGCATCAGCCTACCTGGATATCTTTACTTCCTAGAGCCATATATGCTCTGATTACAAGAATTAGATTAACTGCTTATGACTTGTTAGCTGTTTCTGGCTGCAGCTTGATTTTTTTTAAAATTAATTTTTTTTTTTTAGGAGATAATAAAATATCTTTAAGCAAAATGAAGCCTTCTTGTTCCTTCTTGAAATTATACAAAAAGGCTCCATAGATAATTTATCTGTCAGTTTGATGCCTTTGTCTTTCTGGCCTGTTTCTTCTGTATGTTTTCACTGTGGAGGACGAAGTGATGGTTCTGTTTCTTTTTGTTATCTGTTTTGTTTTTTCTTAGTGTTTTTTTTCCTCCAAGTGACTCCAACACTCTTCAGATACTGCCTGCAGCAATACTTGTAGTTTAAGTGTGTAAACATAAATAGTGTTGCAATGCAAGGGTGCCCATATGTGCACCAGAATGTGCTGAGATGTGGGTTTTGCAAGAATCAGAGGGTGCTGCTGAATTCCCTGGGGGAGTGGGTGCCCTGCTCCTCCCTGCTCTCTATGATGCAGGGTGACCATATGTGACAGCTGTTGGCAGTGCTTTAATGGGTGTGGGTGCAGCAATGTTTTAGGCCGTTTCAGCCCCTGAGAGGTGTGATGGTAGGGACATAAGCACTGAGGCACTTTGGTTACTGTTGTTCTTGAGCTGCTGTATGTTAATGAAAACTTCCTTTACTACTTCCATTAGGTGATTTGCAAGTGCAGTAATGAAGGTCAGTATTTGTTATCTTTCCATTCCTATGTCTTCTGAATGTCAGCCTCAGGAGCACATTTCTTAATGCTATTTGAAAATCTATTCCTTCCTCTCCTCTTCCTCCTCCTCCTTGTAACATATACTTTAAAATCTCCTCCTAGTCTCCTTCCAGTTCATGTTTATTAACATATATACCAGAGCACAAAACACTTTTTCTTAATTTTTCTTATACTAAACATGCTAGCTATGGTACCTTGTTTAAATGTCCATCATCAAGTATTTTGCAAAGCAAGCGGTCCTGCTGAAAGGATGGCAGCCCACATGTCATACCTTTGCAGACCAATGTGATAACTGCCCCTCATAAGCTCTGTTTAAAGCTGAATCTGTGACTGGGGCAGATTTACTTCTTCAAAAAACACTGCAAGCTGATGTTGTTTCACTTATCTTTTATGCAGATGTTATGCTCATTGCTAATTGTAGCCTTGCAAACTCTGTTCATAGGGAAGAAGCAGTTGGTGAACTTGTTTCTGCCTGAGCTAGGGCGTCTGGTGACAGAAGCAAGCATTTGCTGTGCCCTGCGGCAGGAGGTAAGGCCTGTTTGTTGAGAAGAAAACACAAGGTGAGTGCATGTGACTAAATAAAAATGTGAGAAATATCTAACTGGCTCTTTTTCTGTCCCTGCTCCATCCTCTGTTGGGGGAGAAAGGCTTTGAGGACTCTCAACTCTATACTTGATAGCATCCCACGTGAGGGCAGAAAGAAGCTCCCGCTGTCAGAGGAGGTGTGTTTCCTTACGTAAGTGTTTCTCCAGCCACTGCTGTTGCAGGGAAGGTGGCATTCAGTTGGGCTGCAGCATTCTCTGGCTGCATGGGTACAGATGAAGTTACTGGGCTTACTATTCTGTTTCATGCATGATCTTTTTCATAAAACTTATGCTTCTGTTTAGTCTGTTAGTCTCACTTCAGTGTTTTAGATCTTGTTGTGTTCTGTTCTTTCAGGAAGGATCTTGCAAAAACAATGCTGGAGGCTGGTGGTAAGAAGTACTTAGTGGTTATTCTTAGAAGCAAGGGTTCTCTGCCTTCATCTGCTTATTTAATGCAGATGGATTATGATTTAAATTATTTCTTTGTAGGTGGTTGATTTTAGGGAAGGAAAATCAGATGGTAATTTAAGAAGTCTTTATAAAAAATGATTAGATGCAACAGTTGTGGTTTTTCTAACTAGTGTTAGTGATCCTTATTAACTAATAGGAAAATCTAATGTGATCTATGTAGAAATGTAATGATGAAGGTAATTACGAAGTGTGCTTGCAGTTATTCTTAAACAAAACCCAGAACCAGCACACCCAAACTTTAACCATAAATCTCTGATGTGAACAAATTGCAGTTAAAGGAGTTTTATTACCTCTCAAGTCAAATCTTCATTTAGTTTTCCCCTAGTCCCAACACTTCTGGGGCAGTGGCTGAGTCACATTACGTGTGCCATGATAAAATTGTGGTGGCAACAAGGGTTTGCTCTCATCCTCTTCCTGGTGTGCAAGAACATCTCCCGGTGCAGCTGTGTGCAATAGCTAATGGCATCCTTGCCACCTGAGCAAGGAGGGTGCCCATGTTTACAAGGGTTACTGTCCTTGGCTAACTGACACTACCATTTGCCTGGGTAAACTCAAACAGAGCTGAGGAATCAATTTATAGACTGTTAGTGTGAAAGTAGCAGTACTGATCCTCTGTGTTGCTGGGGGGGAATATATTTATCCTGTGCTTATGTTTGCCGTGTAGATTATGACCTTCAGGTTGCCCTTTCAGAAGCACTTTGTAGGCTAACGATAAAAAAATGGAGAGATGACCTTGTTAACCACTGGTTTGAAGATAAATATCTTGCTGAAGCTTTCAAAGAGATCAAGGATAAAGAATTTGAGACGGTGAGGGTTCTTATTTTGAAAACAACATATTTGACAAGACTGTATAGGGGCTGGTTTTGTTCGAGTTCAGTCAGGATGTCCTTGGAAGATGTTCCCAAAGAACTGATTTTATGAATATGAAATTACTTAGTTATTTGTGGAAGGTATTTCTTTCTAGCCTGACAAATATAAGAGAAAAGACTTCTGTTTCCAAAGTGCTTACTTGTATGGTTTATGTTTAGAGGCTGACTGGCTATATGTTGGGTTGAACCCTCAGTAGCAACCTGAGTTTCTTTTTGCCAGTGGCCTCTGTTGCCACACCAATGAGTTAAAAGCTTTTAACTGGAGTAGAGGCTATAGATCTTCAATAACATATCACTTTTTTCCAAAGGAAACAGCCTGATTTTTTTTTTTTTTTAATAAAATGTTATTTGTCTTGAAGGACTGCAGGAAATTTCTTAACCAGTTAAATGAAAGGCTTGGGGATAAAAGAAGGTAAGCTGTGAATCAGGAAACTAAACTGCAATCCATTTGAAAACTGTTGGGGAAAAGTTGTTAACTTGTGTTCTCTTCCACAAAAATGATTTACATCGCAGGCATGAATAATTAAGTTGTTCTTAAGAAAAGGATTTTATTAATTCTACCAGTAGTTCTTTTGAAAGCTGAAATTTGTGAGGTATCACTTTCTTTTTCCCATAAGCTTCTCTAAACTTCTTGAAAGTTATCAAATTTTTTTTTGAACAGTAAAATTAATAGCCAATCTTAATGACTTCAGCTTTCAGCAAGTTACATTTTGACTGATGTTGAATGTATCATATGAAGTCTGCTTTTCTTCCAGAGTCTATTCATTTCCTTGCCTGTCTGCTTTTGCTGACGTGAGCCAGGTAAGAGAGAGTAATGCTGGGCTGCATTATCTACAGTGCTATTGCAGTTCTTTGTGCAGAGTATGTTTCTTCATCTGATTTTTTTTTTTTTTTTTTTCATTGAAGAACTAAATTTTCCAGAGTGCAGCATGTAACTTTCCATTCTAGTTCAAAAATTTGCTTGTTTGTCAACCAACTCCTAACTTACTGCTGCTGACTTTGCTTTTGTGTCAGCCAAATGACAGAGGCAGCACTTCTTTTCATGGTGATGACTGAAAAGAGATCTAAAATGCATCAGAAGGACTCTGATTCCTCTGGCAGGGTTCCTCCCAGCCTGCCAAAAAAACAAGATCAGCTTGATGCCCATGTAGGAGAGGTCATAGATGCGGTTATCAATTCTCCAGATTGCTTTCTAAGTCTTCAAGTAAATGTACGTATTTGTGGCACTGTTCCTGACAGTTGTACCAAAACAAAGTCACTAAAGTGCTTTGTTGAAAGCTGGTACTGCTGCTTTGGCTTATCTCATGTGCTCAGAAATCGAGAAGGCTTCAGAGTCTTTACTTGATGCCAACACGCAGGCATTTGCATGAGGTATTTCCTTTCACTTAGCTGATGTACAGCCCTGTTCTGACTTGTTGGGTATGAATAGATGAATGGTAGGCTTGCAACTCGCAGGTTGATTCCAAGTTAACTTTCTGGGAGGTATACATATGTGTATATTTAGGGCAATTTTTCTCCAATTTCATTTTGTTAAAGGAAACTGAGAATGATATAGCAGAGGAAGTGACAACACTACTGCCATGTTTTCCCAGGTGAAGAAGCCATCAGATGAGAAGCTGGACAAGTTCTGGATTGACTTCAATACTGGCAGTCACAGTGTGACTTTTTACATAGACAGTACTGAGGTAATCATAAAGCCCTGGCAACCCTGAGTTGGCCTAATGCAGCAGGTGGATGTTCTATTGCTGATGTGTTTGTTTTGGTTCTCTAAGGGTATTCTCTGGGACTCTGTAAGGCTGCAGAAAGAAGCAGTCAGCTGTTACAGTCTGAAGGGTAAGACTTGGCCACTTGCCATACATTCTGTTTGTCTGCAAGTCAAAGGGAGCCAATGTAAAATATGGGAACTCTTTGGTGATGGTGATGCCTTCCCTTCTCTGTGCTGAGTAATTTGATCGCTTTGCACCAGCACTCCCTATACTGATTTCTGGCTTGTGCTTATGTTGAATATTGGGTTTTCAGTGGCTTTTCACAGTGGTTGATTGACTGGTGTGAGTGAACAATTTCACTAGCCACATCAGGCTCTACAGAAATTCATTTTCTGAGTGATGCCTGGGGAACAGCTACATTGCCATTAAAAGCAGAACCAAAACAGTGACTGAGTACTTGCCACCAGTGCTTCTCTGAGCCTCACCAAGCTACTGTGTGTATAGGTGACTCTTCCATGTTGTATCCTGCAGTGGCAGTAGAGAAGGAAGAAAGGTTTGCCTGTGTTGTTCATGTACTATGCTTTCCACTTGGCATGAACTGCAAGACCTTGCTTGCAGTAAGGCTCTGTAAGTTGCTGAGGTGGTGAAAGAATCGGGTTGTTCCTTGCACCCAGTCAGGATGTATTGAGGGAGCTCATCTGTAGATATGAGGGTAATGGATGCATAATCGCTGGACCCAGTGAGAAATAAGTGGATGGGCAATGTAACTGGAAATGCATGGGTGAGGTGTGAAAGACACTACCTAAAAAAATTAAAAAAAAAAAATATATATTTGGGATGATAGACTGAATGTCATGGTCTAAAAGAGATTTGACTTTTGCTTTCCCTACAGAGGCTGGTGGAGAAAAGATAGTCAAAATTTACATGAAGATACCTGCTACTCTTAACAAAACAGAAGCAACAAAAATCAAGTTACATTTCAGTGCTGAGTATGAAATCTTTAGTATACTTAAAAAAGTCCTTGGAGATGAAAAAATGATGGTAAGCTCTTAGCATTAGGTTTCTTTTCTTTACTAAAGAAGACTGGTGAAAACATCAAGTGGCTTTTTTCTGACCTGTTATGTATTATTCTTCCCCTTGAGATTTTATGGCACTGAATATGGCTGTTCTTAACGTTGGCCTGAAATAGATAGTAGGTACTTCATAGGGGAAAAAAGCTTCTAGGGACTCTAATTTATGCTTTAGAAGTTGGAAAGGTTAAAGTGTCTTATTAATCGATTGATTGATTTACTTCTGCTGAGTTTTTTTGAGGAGATAATAAAGCCTGTTTAATTTAATTGCCTTATTTGAACTGAACTGTGAACAAGTTCTCACACTCACTTTGTCACAAGTTGAACAAATTGTGACACAGAACTGGTGAAAAGAGGAACTACAGGACATAGACTGTAGATACTACTTTTAATCTAAACAGTAGAGGGTTTTTTTAAAAGCTCACTTTTATAATAAGATAATAGAAAAATACAGGAGGGTGTTTTTCTTTGATTATTTATCAGTTTGATAATTTCTAATACATTTAATTCATCTGCAGACTGTGGGATCTACAGAAAGTCTTATGTCAGAATGAATAGTTGCAGTATAGTGGCAGGGAATGAAACATTTCCAAATGGTCAGCTTGGCTAGCATCCAATGATTTGCTGCTGGTGATTAACAGATGTTAATTATGCTATGAAGTAGCTAACTGAATTAGATAAAGGATTCTACTTTAAGGTCATTTCACATAAGATTTCTTCACGTTAACAGACAAACGTGGATGAAGAGGAGCCCATCCACAATGAGAAGCAAACGAGGCAGAGTGAAGGAGGTGATCTCTTTTGTTATTATTTTATGGAATTTAAGTTCAATTTCAAAATGACTATCTTTATTCACAGTCCACTGCTTGCAATTAGCCACATTTAAAAAAAAAAAAAAAAAAAAAGGCAGGGAAACAGCTTATGGAGACTGGATCTGTGCACTGGCAGCTACAGTGTGTTTCAGTTTTCTTCAGACGAGTATCCAAAAGAGCTAGCTGTAGATATGGGACAGCAATTCCTTCAGTAGTCCTTCCCATTTCTCTCCATTTATAACCCAAAGTAAGCTCTAATGAAAGTCCTCTAGATGCTGAAGGCACAGGTCAGGAAGCTCTTTCATCAGTGTTCACCTTGAATAATGTACTCAGGTACAAGGTGGATACTACTCAAAGCAACCAAGCAGTACAAAGGGTAGAATGTAGTTTGTCTGTAGATAAACAACCTTTGTAGTGCCTTTTGGAGAATCTACTAGTGAAACAGATGGTGGAAGATCTAGTCTGGTACTTCAGTTGGATGTTGTGAGAGGTTGTGCTGTGTGTTGCAGAGCTAGGGGTTAAGGCAGTAATGGCAGTAATCTTTGTATGTGATGAGGGGTGGGCTCAAAATGCTGATTTATTGGGATTTCTATTCTGCTCTTGGTAATTTAGCGTTTTTTAATGTTTTATTAAGCATGATCTTGAGATGTTTGTCTAATAGTTGTATTATTACACTTCTCCATACATGCTTAAGAACAGAGAGGTGTATGTGTTTAAATGTCATGAAGATATTCTCATTCATTTTGTTGTTCTGCAGTGGCATCTCAGTCCAGTGATCTACAGAAGAAAAATCCTGAAAACTTTGAAAACACGGATCCCATAGCAGAAAACCTAACCTCACAACACAACGAGCAGTTAGTGGGCACTGTAGCAGTGAGTGTTTGGTGTATGGTGAAGCAGTCCTTCTGTCTCCTTTTTCTTCTCCTCCAGTTCTTCACAAATGTAGTTAAAATCTTCTTTCCAAGAAACCTGGTTTGTGCTCAGAACTGACCTATTTTTAAATTCCATCTTTCTCATGTCATTGGGAAGTCAGCCTAAATACTTGTCCCCAGATCTGAAATATTGGCAAAATGCTTTAAGAACAAAACAACAACAAAAAAAGCACAACTTCCCTGCCTTTCAGGATGATGGTAAAATGATATGGTGGCATTCACAGTATCACTCAAATATAACTCAAAGACTTACTGTATGTGACTAGCGATGATCATGTGGCTATTACTGCCAAAGACTAGCACTGAAATTCTGATCTTGTAAAACAAACAAAAAAAACAAACTGAGAAAACCCCACTTCTTTATTAGTCGTAAATGTGCTCTGATGCTGGTTTCATGTCTCCAAGCAGAAAAGGTCTAACTCTGATGTCACCATGACTGCAGTGAACCAGCAGTCTGGCCTGGACGAAGCTGACCAAGGCTCAGGTCAGACATGGCTCTCTTCAATTCCTTAAGCGTGACCCAGTTAAGTGTCACCCGGGTGACATGGTGAAGGTTCTGCTTTTGTGGGTTTTCCAGAGAAAGCAGGCAAACAAAAACATTTACTAGTAGCTCCAGAGAGTGAAGCTGTAGTTTCCTTGTCTCCTTCAGCAAACAAGTCCAAAACTCTGTCTCCAAGGATGGATATGAAGTCTAGGTAAGTGTCTTCTGGAAGCTGGAAGGTGTTGGCTTTTTTTTCCCTCCCCTTATCTTAGTGCATGTGACTGAGGTTTGTTTCACCAGTTAGAAATGAAAAAAAGAAACTGCTTTGCCACCCTGGTTAGCAAGGTGATGCTACCTCTCGTGCCTACTTTAATTAAAATGCAGTATAAGTGTACACCAGTATTACAGATAGCTTAATTTCTGTTGCATGCTCAGTTCAAAGGCAAAAACATAGCTTTTTGTAATAAGGACCATGGTTTTTGTGGAAGATGATGTGAAATTGTGTCCACCTTGGTGTTACTGATAATATTTTCCAGAGCTGTGAAGGACAGTGTTATAGTTAATGAGTTGCTCTTCTATAGACTTCCTATGCGCATGCTAACCCACTGCTTCAAGGCTTATTGGTACAAGTTCCTTTCCTCTTAATACTTCATGCATGGACTTTCTGGGCTTTAAAACTCTATCCCCTCAGCACTGTGTTTGCTCATGTACCCTCCACAGTGAGAAGCCACCAGAAGAGAAACTTACGGAAGCATCAACGCCCAAGGTACATTTTCCTTGATACTCACTTGAGTGAAGACACATGAGGCAAGAGATGAGATGTTCTGGTGGTCTGTCTCCCAGGTTTATGAAATATACATTTAAACTGAAAGTTCAGAAGTTTTTGTCATACTTAGCCCTGCACAATGAGTTCAAAGCTTCTAAACTATTTCTTTTATACCCTCAATGCCCTGTCCCCCTGATTCCAGCGTCAGAGCTCCCATTCTTTCTGGTAGTAATGAACTATGTAGCTACAGCTAGACTTCCTATGATAGGAAGACTGTGGTTTCCTGATATTCCTTACCCTGCTTTTATCAGATTTTAGGTTGAATACATGACTTTGCATATGACAGCTTTTGATCACATAACACTTTTCTTTTTACAAGGTTGGTACCTTGGAAAGGAGAACCAGAATAAAAGGTTTGGTCAAGCAGAAGACTGGAGGCAGGTATGGTGCAAGCACTTAGTGGGGTCTGGTGTCCCAGGTGGTTTTATCTCATAGCTGTAATAATGGAACATGGCTGTCATAATAGAGTCCCAGTTGTTTGGTATCTCATGTCTTGGAGCTCTGAGATAGCTTTTTCTCTCTGCTGTGGTTTTGGTTGTGTTTGGCTTTGATGTGTGTCCTGGTCTAATCTAGTGATTCTTAGCTTATAAGACATGCTTGGATGATTTTTTTTTTTTGATTGGTTGTAGATAGAAATGGAAAACTTTAGCACAGAATGTCAACATCACTGCATGGTCTGTGTTTTAAGTTTAAGTACCTTGGTGCTCCACTTTAGAAAAGAGGAATAACAGGATCAGGCTGGAATGGAGAAGAGCAATCGTTCTGCTCCCTCTAGTGCTTCATCTGAAAATGAGCATTTCTTCTCTCTAGTAAGAAGTCTAACTGACAAGTGTGTAATTTTTAAATTCTTTTTGTCCTTTTACTTGTCAGAAAAGGAGAGTACGCTGCGTGTTGAGAACTAATTGTAGGACTTTTTAAGGTAGCTGTTATTTGGTGAAAGAAAAATACCCTTCATTTTAAGTAATTAAGGGCACAAAGACTAAATAAGGAAAGTGATTAGAGAAGAAATGTTTAAATTAAAACTTCCAAAAGGGAATTAAATGTTGGGGGGTGAAACTCGATGATCATTATGGTCCTTTTCAACCCAGGCCGTTCTATGATTCGAAATATATTTTTTTTTAATTTTTCTTGAATGCTTCTAAACTTATCTTTCATTCATGACTTTCTCCTACCACGTGTGAAGGAACAAATTATATATATATATTTATAAATTTATGTATAGTAGCGACTGTGAGAACACTGTATTTAGGCATATGACATTTATTTAATTATGAACTTTGTTAAAAAGTAAACACTCATAGTTTATTCCCCCTCCCTCAGTACTTCTCAGTGCCTTTGGGTGACTGCTCATGGCAGCCTGCCATGCTGTATTCTCTTGCAGGAAGGACTTCTTTGACTTTGAGGTCTCAGACTCCGCAAGTCATGAGAAGGTAAAACTGAGGCAGCTTTTATGGGCTGTTCTGAGCTCATGGTTCAGCAACTACCAGAGAGTACAGACTTGCAGATGGGGAATACATTTGATCACAGATGTGCAGCAAGGGTGGGTGCGCCCACGTAGCAAAACAGGCAGATTGTATTTCTTTTTAGTATTATACTTAAGGAATGGTTTTCAGGAGTGGGGAGAATTTCTGCTACAAACTGGACACCATCCAGTTCTCTCTACTACCACTAGGTGTCAGCATGAAATCTTGCTATGTGGTACACTGCCTGATGTCCTGACAGCTCCATCCAAACTCCATCTGGGTAAAAGAGCTCTAATTTTGGAGATTATTTTACAGAATAAATAAACTTTAAGACAAGCATGTGTGTGTTTGTTTTTTTTCTTATTAGGTTGCTGAAGCCAAAGAGAAGGTTTTGGGAAAGAAAAATTTTTCACAAAATCAGAGGTACAGGAGCACCACCCATAAAATGTTTGTTGTAAGAATAGTTTGGGGCCTTAATTAAACTGCTGTAAGTTAAGATTAAGAAGGTTATGGTATGTTTCCAAAACAGTAGTTCCTTACTTAGCTATCATAGCATCTGCAAATGTTGGATGTCACCAATAGCAGCATTTAAAGAGAAGCTGAAAATATGTGAATTACTAAAGAAAAAACCTGCTCTTGCCTACTTTGATAAAGATAACACTTGAGCTCTCAAACTGATTTACTTCTAGAAAAATATTGAAGCCCTCTGCCTTTCATTTAGGTGCTAAATTTTTGATATTCCCAAATTGTTACTTTTAGAATTCAGACAAAGAAGGGAAAGCTGGCAATAGAAATGTTGAGTTCTAATTATGAATTTATCTTACTATTAATCTATGTCTTTGTAATTGATGAAGTACTACTTAATTTGTTAATAGTGCAATTGATAAATGAACTAGTAGTGGCTGTGCATGAATAGCTTGCTGGTATCAGAGCATGCCCTGCTGTTGCTGTTTAGCTGTGAGAGGAGGCAGGAAGATGCTCTAAGCCCTGTACTAGCAAATGGCAAGCATCTGCCCCTCGTGTTTTTATGCAGCTTGAAATGCTTCAGGTGTTGATTGCATTGTGGGGAGGAGGAAATGAAGTAATTCTCTTTAGAGGAAAAGAATGGCTAGTGAGCTTTCTGGGGAGGGGCAAGGGGGAGCTGGCTGAACAGGATTCCTAATGGTGTCTTTTATCTTAGTTATAGGAAGCATCTCTTCTCTGAAAGCAATAATGAAAAAACAAGCAACAGTGAGAGTGAGAAAAGCTGGATCCTCAACTCCCAGAAAGAGCCACTGCCAAAATCTCTCAACTACACCCGAAAAAGGCGCAGAGTAAGAAGAAAATTAAAAGGTAGGCTTGGTTCACATCATGCATGGTGAGCAGGTAATACTGCAGGTAAGGAAGTGTGGAGGAGGATTCCTTTTCTTACTGGTGTTTTTAGCTATGGTGCAAACCAATGGAGATGGCTCCCAGTTGTATTGCTGGTAACCAGGTGAATCTTTTCTCCCCACAGTACTTCCAGTGTCATCTCCAAGCAGCAGCAATGAAAACCAGATGGAAGAGGTGAGTTGTCATGCATAGATCTAGAAACAATATCGATGCAAAACGTGAGCAAGTGAGTGGGAGCCAATATGTTGGAATCAACTTCTCAAGCATTCTAATGAACAAATGCCAGTTAGATATTGCTGATGCTGTTGGGCTGCTAGAGGCTGAGGTTTCAAGTTCTCTGCTTCCAGCTATAGCTTCTGAAAAGCTAGCCATGAGTTATACTGACAGGCAGCAAGTGGATCAGACATACATAAAGCAGAATAAAACACAGTTGAGCAATGCCAGGCTGTTACAGTGCCCAGCTGTTAGTTGCTGTGTCTCAAATGTTTTGAAAATGTTCTTACCTGAATGCAGTAAGTATGGGAAAATTCTCTAGAACTTGAAGCTGCGCTTAAAGTTTTAATCTTTCCCTGAAAACCTTTTCTATTTTCTCTTGACTGAAAATGCTTTGATTCTGCTGCTGAAAAACTTTATCTACTATACAGCTCTGCTGGCTAAATGCCAGCGTGCAGATAAATTCAGGGCACAGCACTGAAGAGAGCTATCAGTTTGTATTAGGTACATTTTTGAGGTTTCTGCTCTTATAAATTTTCAAAAATCAATCCACTCCAAAAAACTTATTTGTACTGTTTAAAGAAAATATGTACTAAGACTTGGTTTTGTTTTAGCAGGGAGCAGCAAGACAAAAAGATGAAAAGAAAGTGTCAAGGAAAAAACACACATCCATCTCTAAGGGTGATGATTTACCTACAGTGGATCTTGCTGGTATTTCTTTTTTATACTGATGGCCAGTGTATTAGAAAAGTATTTTGTTTTGCCTTTTTTCTTCATGTTTTTCTCATAAATGCCTGGTGACATTTCCTGTAGTGGCTGCAAGGCCTGGGTATTATTTGTAGGTGAAGTCCCTTGAGCAGAGAGAGCAGCAGTTGGGGCTGTTGATCTGGTTTCTGGGGAAAAGATATGCTGTGTTTGTGCTATCTATCCAGACTGCTCTGCTACTTGTACTAAAGTGTCCAAATATTGTTTCTTGGAAGAAAAAAAAAAGATATCTCCCCTCAAGCATTATATTTTAAAACTTTAGGGGAAAAAAAAAAATCACGTGGATATTAATACAAAGGAATTGGCGTCTTCTTCTGTGTTGGAAAGCAAGTACTGAACATAGACAGACTGTGGCTTGTATTTCAGGCTGAGCATTCTTCTCTATTCTGCAGTGCTGATTAACTCTTTTTAAAAAAATTGTTATTTCAATGGTAGTTATATACACTGTAAAATAACTGATGCTCATGGTAAAGATGCACACAGCATTTATGCTGGTATGCATGGAGCTTCACCCATGAAGTATGGATGGTGTTGTTCACACAACAGGGTGAATCTGGTTGCAGACAGGATTGGCTGAATCCTTTGGCTACTCTCTCACACAGGTGACGTGCCATCAGAGGAGCCTGAAGGCATATGGCAGTCATTGGATGTGTCTATGGAGGAGCACTCAGGTGTGGAGGAGGAGGCAACACAGGTTCTGTATGCAGTGCTTAAGTTCTCCCCAACCTACCCTCAGCCAGTTCTGCTCTGCAGGCCATCCATGTATTGTGTTGTTTTGCTTCATCTGCAGCCCCTGGCAGCTTGCTTGTCTCCTGGGTGCTGCCTTATTTTCTTCTCCATCTCTCCTTAGAAGTTTCAGAACGTGTCTGGTGAAGAGACAAGAGAAGAAGAAAGCTTTAAGCGGAAGGACTTGGGTATGTTGGTCTCAATACTGTAGGAGAGCTGGTCAAAAGGCCAAAAGACGTTGAAGGAGTTGTCAATTTTTTTTTCAAAGGCCAATAATCAGGGAGGTTTCCTGATTTTTAAAGCATGCCTTTTGCACAGGAAATAGTTTCAATTTCTATGTTTTTAGTATTGTGGTAGGCTATGGCAAGATGCTTTTTATATAAATTCCTAAATTCATCACTGTATGGGAACTACTCAGTCATGGCCTGAACCACTGATTGATCACCTGGGGAAAGGACTGAGTCAGCCCTTGGTGCACAGGTGAAGGCAATTCACCTGTGTGACCAGAAGAGGTAGAGCCTGGCTCCACCTCTTAGATGCCATTTAAGGGCGCTACTTGGAGATCTCTCCCTTGTGGAGTTTTTCCCTGCAAGCCTAGATCTTGAGAGACAGGTGAGCATTCCTTTCCTGTTTGTCCCTTTGCTATTCTACTCCTGTATTGCCTTTCCACCATGCTAATATTTCCAACAATTGCTAACTCTTGAAGGTCTTTTCCAACCTAGATGACTCTATAACTCTTAAATCCTAACTATGATCGCTGGGGAGCTAGTAGCATAGCTGGTCAGAGCTTGGAGACTTACAAACTAGTAACCTGAGAGTAAATATATGAAGTAAGCAAAAGAATAAACCCCAAATCTAGTAATTTGGTGCTGCAGTGCAACTGTAACTTAAAAACAGGTGACACTTCAGAAAGTTGTTGACTTTCTTTTCACTTCTTAATATAGACATAAGTGGTGATAATGAAGCACTTGGTAAATGGTGACATGCACTGATGCTTACTGAAGTTGTAGCTTTCTTAGGTAACAGAGGCATGTAAGGAAGTGAAACTGAACTTGCACAGACTCAAAATTCAAAACTGCTGCACAATGTCTTTGTTTTTGGAAGCAACCAAACTTCATGAAAGTCAAGCAGCAACAGGCTGTCTTCATCCTATTACTGTTGATGCAACTCTGAGAACTACAGGTTTTAAAGCTATGGTTGGGAATATGACCCGAATCACTGAAGTGCAGATCTTGGACGAAAGCACTCTCTTGTGGGGTGGCATGTTCATATGTCAATGTCTCTTATCTGTCTAGCACTTGCAGATTATACCTTCACTGTGTCAGTGCCTCTACACAAGTTTGGAGGAATGTAACTTCTGAAGGCTTATTCTTGATCATTGTTTATTGCATGATGTTATGGTGGGAGAAAAGCTGATGCTATATAAAGGCAGAAGTAGAGTCCTGTTCAGAAATGTCAGATGTGTTCTGTGACTGCATCTGACTGCATATTTCACGAAGCCTGAACCTACCCTGTGCTGCTGCAGCATGCTCCTCGAGGGGCCTTGCTGTTCCCTCACCCTGGGCTCTACCACCTTCCTGATCTCTGCCCTGTGGAGGCTCAACCACAGGCACCTCACTGAGCTCAGAAAAATGCAACAGAAAGTCACCCCGTACACAGAATGTGCAAGTTTGACTTAAATACAGGCTGCCTCTTCTTGCTGTGTTCCCAAAGGGGTTTTTAAGCTAAAAGCAATTGTACAGCAGGGTTCTGAAGATCTGGAAGAAGCAACTGTTATGGATGTTCAGTCTTTTTCTCTCTGTATTTATTACTTATTTATGTATTTTTTTAATTTTTAAAGTAGCAGATGGAATTGCTTAGAAACAACTGAGCGTAAACAGATTGTGAGCTTGGGATGGAAAAGAGAAGAGTTTTCTTGGCCACAATAGAGGGACAAGAAATGAAATAATCTCTGAGATGGAAATACAGTAGTTTTCTAGTTAGCTGCATAATAGAGTCTGGTTGACAGCTTTTGTAAGGGGAGAAGACTTGCTGGTAGTCTCTTGTGTTCTGTCCTGTGAAAGTGTGATGCCACGCGCTAAAATGAAGTTGCCTGCTTTTCTGCTGTATTGGTAATTCCAGTAGTGCTTTTTGCTTGTGTATCTGGTAGGCATGGATATATGCCTCTTGGTAAAGAACAGGAGAACTGAAACCTCTCCTTTTCTCCTAGATGCATTAAGTGGCACTGTTGTGAAGAAGCCCAGATTTTTCAGTTCAGAAACAAAGCACTTGTCCTCCGAGTCACCCTTTAAGCCCAAGAAACTTTCGAACTCAGTTGAGAAGGAAGAGGAGATCAAAAGAGGTAAAATCAAATTGGCACTTAAAGTATTAAAATGTTTTCAGCTTTTTTTTTATTGGTAGACATCAGAGTCATGTGGAAGCTTGAGGGACAAGAGAGATGTGGAGGGAGGACATCCTCTCCAAAAGTCAGTGTAACAGAAGGCCTGTCTTTATGGTTTACTCATTGGATGCCGCGTATTTGAAAATGTGAGTAAGGAAATCTGGGGTGCCTAACCACCGTCTAGTCAGGTAGTAGTGTTTTCTATTCTTTCTGAATAGTGATGATCAAGAGTTATTAAAAATAACTTCATGTATAGAAAGCATACAGATAATGGACAAACAAACTGCAGTTATTGGATAGCTTACTCTGTCATCTTGCATTATTATCTGTGAATATGTTGCTCTGTGATAATGAAGTTGTTGTTTACATCTCCCTGCAGTATCACATGGGTTTGTTTCCCACTAAGGCCCCCCCAGGGTGGTACTAACCAGGCACATGCTTTCTTGTAGGTCAGGAAACGGTTGATGTGAGTACTGCGTTTCTTTCCAAGATACAGCATGAAGATATTGGTGATTCAGGAGTGATTGCTGTATTTGAAAGTTTTACCAACCAGTTAAAGCAACTGTTTTGGGTAACTTTCTTAACATGTATGCCTTGGTGGTGTTTTGGCTGTGATGTCTGTTATCCTGAAGCTCTGTACTCTGTATCCTGTAGCCCCTGTACTCTCAGAAGTGCTACAGGAAGGGTAAGGAGTGAATAAAGGAAATTTGAATCAGGTTCTTCCTTTTTTCTCATTTCTGTGCAGGAAAATAAGTTTTTAATTTAAGGCATTTTGCATGCTCTTGTTAGAGGAAAAGGATAAAAGTTTCAGAAAAACTCAGAATAGTTGCATTGTGCCTAAATCGGGGACATAAATAGTTGCCCTCATGGACAAATATCAGAAATTCAAAAGTTTTGTTTTAGAGCAGAGAGCTCTTAAGCTCAGTGCAAAAACTCCATTGGTTTCTCATAATGAAAAATAGAAAGCAATGCAGACTGCATTTAGTCACTGAAACACAGGTAGATCCACAAGGGCGTTTGTATCTCCTGGATCAGTGGTTTGCAGAGGTGGTGGTTTCTCAGTGAGGAATATGTGTGCTGCATGTTGCTGGTTCACTCATAGTATGGACATGCTTGAGATGTAACATGGGGGACCAACTGTTACTGTCAGTTTAGCTTTAATGAGTAATGATGGCATAAACCCAAGTCTAGTATGAGAGGATGCTATCAGAAAATCTTGTTATAAAGCTTTAAATAAACCAGGCTTTCATCCTATCAGATCTATACAGGATTGACGCTTTGTACCATGCAGCAATTATGGGGTTTTTGTATTTTTTTAATTATGTCAGTGTGTGTTCGTGGAAATGTTTTGCAAACTGCGTTTTTAGGTTTGGGGTTGTACCACATGCCTGCTCCTAATGGTGTGTCCTGTGGTCAGTCCAGGTACAAAGAGATGGAGATGTCTGCACAGAACACGCTGAAGACTTCTGAGAAGAATGTTTCTGCTCTGCTGAAAGAGATTCACAAGTGCAGGTGAAGTGTCTGCTGAATGGAAGCATCTTCAGCTCCACCCAAACTCTGATTTCTTACAAAGAAATGTTTCTTTGTGAGAGGGCCTGACCTCTATGGTTTTTTAAGGCGAAGTGGGTTGTGTATCTCTTCTTTTTTTGTAAAGAGTTTCAGAGCATGGCTTTGTTCCTCTTCTCTTGTAGAGGTACAGGGGATAGTTGATTTCAGAGCAAAGAATGCTTGAGTTAGGAGTGATAGAAGCTATTGATTTCTTGTTGTCATCACTGTTTATAGATCTGCATAAAAAGAATTTTGAACTTAGCAGCTTCTCTTGTGATGTTTCAAGAGAGTGAACGAAGGAGGCAGGTTGATTCATTTAAAGAAGTGGGGGAGAAGTACTAAGGGGGGTTATTTATTCATGCTTTGTTATACAGCCATTTCTGTAGATTGTGTGCACGAAAAAAAAAGGCAGGAAAGGACTTTACAGGCAGTTGCCCAATGACGTTTGTCTGCTTTGTGCATTGACGAAATCTGTCAAATGGGAGATTCATTCATAATTGGGTACAACACTTATGAATTTGCTATAAGCAAAATAAAGACACAACTGAAGTTACGTGTAAGCCTATCAAACCTCTGTATCTGCTACGCTTTGTTGGAGTTAAGCATAGTATAAAATAATAGCCTTTGTTTAATAATTGCACTGGGAACTCTGCTGTATGCTCTGTGCTGAGCTCCAGTACCAGCATGTAGCTATCCTAGCCTCTGATTTGGTGTGGTACAGCTATTTGTGTGCTCTGAGAGCAAACCTCTGCTAGTTTCAGCAAGGACGTTAGTGTCTGACTATAGGTGGATTCTGTGCTGAAGGCAGAGCATGGGGATGTCCACAGCTTTCTCTCCTATACCCTGAACTGTTGAACCTGTCTGTTTTCCATCACTAGACTGAACAAGCTGGAAGCCTTCAAGAAGATTGTTGTGGAGGAGCTTGCCAACCTTGAGAAAGATACTCAGATCTTGAAGAACATGGAGAAGGATGCAGTGGTGTGCAGTACTCTTTTTGTAGTACTTTTTGTGCCAGCTCCTAGAGTGTCCCTTCCAAATTAATGGGGCTTTTTTTGGGCTCTTCTTAGGACTTCTGGAATGCACAGCTGCACAAACTGAATTCTTTCTGCAACCAGCAGAAGCAAAGGTATGCATTTACCAGTTGTCCACCCTGCTCACAGGTCCTCTGTGGTTGAAGTTAGCTTGAAGGTGGTGTGGCACCTCCACTTGGTGCTCACTGACAGTCGTTGCAGTCCATGAGGACCTGAAACTGGCACTAGGACTCTTTGAGGGATTCTGCATGGGAAGTTGTGCATGATGGGCACGTATTTTGAGAGGTTGAGGTCTGGGATGGGATGCACGCCATCTCTATACAGGGATCAAAGGAGGTGATACTTTTCTGTGTTAAAAAAATAAATAAAAATGCTGATGGTACCAGTGCTGGGCACAAAGCTGCAAAAAGAATAATCCTAAATTTTGTTTTTTATTGTTAAATATCACTGTTCTATGTGTAAGTGATAGAAGCCTAACAAACCAACTAATCTCAGCTAACTTTCCCCCACAGAATTCAGTCTGTTGACTCAGCCCTGGGTGAGACAGCTGAGAGTTTTGCCAGTACGCTTGTCAGCACCACAGTAAGTGCCATTTCTGTTTAAAACTGAGTGTTAAATTGTGCTGAGAAGGTTCTTATTGGTTTTGTTATGATTGGTTTAATTGGGGAAATGGGAGGGGAAAGCAAAGTGGACAGAAATCACTTTCCTAAGGGAGATGATAAGGACAGAGTTGGGATACTTCTCCTCAGTACTTACCTGAGGGATTCCTTTGTCCGCAGGTTGTTTTGGTGGTGTTAGGGATCCTTGTAGCTAGTTAGGGAAGTTTCCTTTGTGAGCACCAAACTCAGAATACGGGGATACTGAATTGCCTCTGGTGAAGGGACTGGAAGAGCAGCAAGCATATGAGGAATTAATGAGGTTACCATTGCATCACTGGAGCTGCTCATCCTTATTCCAGGCTAGATATTAGGCAATTAAAAGCTGAATTTAAGTACTCTTAGCTCTCTGCAACTTTCTTATCTTGCACAACATAAAAACTTGTATAAACTTCTTGAAATGTTCTTCTTACCTTTTTTTTCCTCCCCACAGCCCAACGTCTCAATGAAGAGTGCAGAAGAGAATGGTGTGTTCGTTGTTCCTTCTGACTAGCAGCCCTCTGATTCACTGGAGTGTTTGAAAATGCAGATAAGATGGTCTTTTGAGGGAGATGATATCTATTTTAAATTGAAAGAAAAACGAGGAGAGAGAAAATAACATCGATAATGAGTTTTTTGTTGTTATATTGTTTAAGAATAGCATATGCTGGTTGAGTTGTTCCATTTTGACCTGTGTCCAAAACGTTGTTCCTGCAAAACTGTAAGATAGTTGCATTAAATACCAAAGAAATAGAAAATGAACTAAGTATAATGAGTCAGCCAACAAACTGATGCACGTTGGCCACTCAGCTCTGGACTGCAGAGAAGAAAGCATGAAGGGATCTACTGGACGTTGGCCACATGCCTGGTGGCATTCTACAAACTAAAGGGCAAGAAACCTGGAGCATTGCAGGCATAAAGGCAAGTGAAACTAGAGAAATTCTTTCTTAAACCAGTAATTATTGCTTGCTGTACTTTGTACTCTCCTAGAAGTTAATGTTAGGATTAGATAAGTAACACCAAAGGTCTCTTGAAAATGAACAGCAGATAAACTGTACTATTTAACATCATCCTCTCTTTCAACAAGTTGGTTTCCTAAATTGCAGTTGCTCTTTGCAGCATTAAATGCAGCTTGTGACAAACTTCACTCGTGCTGCTGCATCTTAATTAATGTGTGGGAATGTGGGGTGGTTCCAAGCTCTGTTTCTACCTACTTGCCTTGTAAAACAGACCTCATATTGCTGTGTGAGTTAGAGTCAAGGGAATCTCCACTGTGCACATTGTGCGTGCATAACAAAAGTCCAGCTCTGCCAGGGTTGTTTCATCACTGAAAGCCTTCAGGTAGCTGAGCTTGTTCCCTCTCAAAAAGGCTGCAGTGTCATACCTGAATTGAGAGCAGTGAAAATCCACAGCTGCTATTGCTGAAACGCTTCCTGGAAGTGTAGTGCTTGTTCCTTTTGCTGAAGTATTCCTGGGCTGGTGTGAGATAAGGCTGCACTTCCATTCGTGGCAAGGGGTGGCTGGTTCTTTCTTTCCAAGATGATTTAAAAGCAAAGACTTGTTCACTCCTGCCCTTCCCACAGATCCAGGACCACTGGTCTGCCTTCTGCCATTTTTAATGTGTAAAACTGGACTGCTGGCTTGCCTGTATTTCCTTCTGGGCTGTTCCTAATTACCTGACTATGTTGCATCCTGCTGCTGCTCTGCAGGGTCTTTGCAGCAGTCACTGAAACTCTGCTTTTGTAACCTGTGACCTTGGGCAGTGTCACCTCCTCTGGGACAGATGTTGTCGTGGCTGGCTTAGGCTTGTTCACCTCCTTCATCAGCATGTTTGTTGCCCAAAGGGAAGGTTTGACACAGAAATCATAGTGAGATATGAGTCTCCCTGATTTAAGGATCCTTTTCTTTTTTTCCCCTCAAACTATGATAACAATGGATGGCCATTCATTTCTGAGATCATTTCTGGTAGTTTTACTTGCTCTCCAAGTTAGAGCAGCCAAGCATTTAAGTTTTGTGAGTCCAAGGGAGTAGATGTTGCAAGTTCTGTTTAGCTACATCTCCCCACTGTTGGCAGATGGTGATAGAATACCATTTTCACATCACTTATGACTGTAAAAATAAGCATGTTTCTCATGTAATTATCTGTGGTAGGGCACTTAGAGGAATAAAACTCTGCATAGTGTGTTTCTTGTTGAATCCCTGTGTAATCTGTCAGTAAAAAGTTTGGAAGGTGTGTTGAGCAGTTCAGATGACTTGAATAAAAGAGAAATCGGCCTCTTTCACTGAAGTATGTATGCAACAATGGTAACTTTTATTGCTTTTAATTGATTTACTGGACCCCAAAAGGCTGCTTTCCCTGATAGGGTAGGATAGGATGAGGAAAGAGCTGCCATATGGCTTAGATGACTCTCCCCCTGTGCTTCTTTTTTCTATCCTCTCATATAAAATGTGTTATCTATTGAGCAGCATAGCAACTTAAGCCTGGCAAGCTGTGAACTGCCTGAGCTGGGAGGGTGTGCTTTGGTCTTTCCCAGTGGTCTTCATGTTTGTTCCAGCAGCAGATACAAGTATAGACAACATCTGGGTCAGGAATGGCCTCCTGTGTTTGGACAGCCCATCTTGTGCCATTTCCTATGCTGTTGGGTCACTTTGGTAGCTAAAGTCCCCTGAAGGCCCAAAGTCCACTTGGCTTCTGCAGGTGATGTGTTGCAAAGTGGCCTTGTGTAAGTTATCCTAAAATTTCCCACAAAAGAGCTGTTTGCTGACCCTGTTTTTTTGTTGTTTGTTTTGATTTCTTCTGAGCTGGTCTTATCGCTTGCTGATGCTTTTCATCAGCTCAGTGGTGCTCTTGTAAGTATTACTAAGTTACTTTTTCTCCTTTCTGTTGGAAGTAGATACAGCTCATTTTTCATGCTGTTCTTCTGAGTTGGGACAATAAAGATGGGTTTCACCCACTTGCTGAAGATGTGTGAAGGCATCGGTACCCAGAGGAAAAAGTTGGAGAGAGAAAGTGTGTGTTAAGGATAACGGCTTCATAATTAAGTTCTTGACCAGCTTAATAATAAACTCTGTTAAAGGCCCTGCTGTATCTTTTGGGGAATGATGCTGGGCCAAGTTCTTGTTTACCTGCATGCTTTACAGTAGTGAAATGGGCCAACCAAGGTCTGAAGGGCTTGTGCTGCCTGTTGGCAAGGTTGCAGGTATGGCACTGTGACAGGTTTGTCTTCTGTAACTGGAGTACACAGGCAGAGTGACCAGGAGTTGTGTACTCAAGCTTGCCCTGCCTGTGGTCAGCTTGCCCTACCCCTTGGCTATTTCCACGTGCTGTGGTGCACGTGTTTGTGTAGTGAAAGCAAATGCAGCAATAAAACCCTTCCTTGTCACGTAGGCTGACTTTTATGTATTGTCAGCAAGAGTCAAGAAAATATTCCCAACAGCCAGTTGATTAAGGGAAGCCCTGCAAAGCTGGGACTGGGTGCACAGCAGCAGCCTGACTTCTATCCTGGCCTTCTGGGGTTCATGGAAGGACCTTCCTAAAGCTCATTTTCTACCTCTTCATTTCCTAGGGGGCTGTTAATATCCAAAACTAGCAAACCAAACTCAATAGCTTTCTCTCTTCCATTTTGCTTTTCATTCCTTCTGTACATACATGTGGTGAGCCCAGAACTGCAGGGCCAGGGTTTGTGCATTGCTCTCTGTACTTTCAATGTGAAATACATTATAATTTTGAGATTGTTTTCAGTTGAGACCTGTAGCAGAAAACTGAGAGAGGCGAAGTTAGAATCAATCTGAGAATCAGATGACCTGGCCAGAAAGTATGAGCCTTGAACAAGCAAGTAATTCACACGCTGGTTTTGTTTGATAGATAAGTTTCTGCAGGTAGTGGGGCTGAGTGTGGAGATCTAAGAGGTCTTATCTACAATACCTTGTAAGGTAAAAATTGTGTTAATTTTTTTTGATAGTTAAATATAACATTAGGTCTGAATAGATGCAGTGTGCATGGCATTTCTGTGGATGCCACATCTGAATTTGTAAGTTGGCCAGAAGTCTTAGAGATGGATAAGCATAATTCCCCAAAGCCCAGTGTCGTTTTGAGAACAGCCCTCCTTTCTTAGTAATTGTGATTCCTTGCAGTGCATTACGGCTGTGGAGAAGTTGTGTACGTACCTTGTGGGTGTATTTGGGGATTTTGATGTATTTATGGGAAGGATGGGTCACCTAGTTTTATTGACTGGCTTGTTTTGAAGTAGAAGAGACTTCAAAACTTGTTGCCAACACAGTTTTGTTAAGTAGACATTCAGGAAAATAACTGTTGTAAACTGCAATGGAGATGATGAATGACTGGAAAAATTGCTGCAGGACACTTTAGTGTAATGTTTGATCTTTTCACAGATCGTGTGTAGTTGATGCTGACACCTAACCAAGGGAATTGTATCTGAGTCTTTAGGTCTGCTGGTGTGTATGAGCCCCTTTCCTGGGCTCAAGCACTCTACAGGAGGAGGCTGCTGTTGGCAGCAAAAGGCCCTTGTTACTCCTATCCAGTAGAATAGCAACACCAGATGGGAATTGCATCTAAACACAGCACAAGAAGAGAGTTTGTGTAGGAGAGGAGAAAAAACACCTACTGAAGGACTAAAAAGATGTCAAACGCACAGAGGTTGTCATTTTCCATGAATGCAGTTTGAAGTACCCCATGAACATGCTTCCTGAAGCCCTGATGAGTTTGCGTGTGGGTAGGAGCAGCTTTCAGACCAGTTCTGCTTTGCCACCATCAGCTCTTACATCACCTTATTCTTTCTGAGTCTGACATCAGCTTTTTCTGTCCGTGATGACAGACCTCGCCTCTTTGTGGTTATATCTAGTACAGGGGCTTAAAGCCCCCCTTAAAAAAATTCCAACTGCTTCAGTAAAGTTGGAGAGTATTTTTGTGATGGTTTGGTTGCAAGCTAAACATTTTTTTTAAACTTGTAATATTTTTTATGACAATAAAGCTCTAAATTGTGGGGGGTTTTTTGTATGAGACAATGACAGTGTTTTCTTCTACTCTCCCATTTGAAATTCCATGGCTGAACGGGGCCAGACTCCCATTTTTTTTTTTTGTTAATTTCAAAGAAGCACTGAAGCCCATGTGATGTTCCCCCTGCCTCACCCCCTGGGAAACGTGTCAATTAAAAATGTTTCCTAGTTGCCAAGTTTGTGCACCAGTACCAGTCACTGGAAATTCATGTGCTTCTTCCCAGGCTGTGTTGATTGCTGCTTTATTTACTTTTTTTTTCTCCCAGGTAGAACTCTTAAGTGAGCTATTTTAAAGACTTTATGTAACAAAAGTATTAGGCACAAGAAAGTGTATTACCAGTAGGGAAGCCTGTACTGATTAACAGGGTTCCACAGAATGGTTAAACCAAACTCCTTCCTCTACATATTAGTATGTTTGGAATACATCAACCATGGTTTTCCAAATATGCCTCGTTATGCCTTCATGCCATCATACGAAGCAAAATCCAGAGACTTCATGCTGTTGGTGATTGCCCGCTCTCAGGTTTGTCTGGATGTGTCTGCAAGGCCTCTGTGCTCTTGATGGAATCAGCAGCTCTTTCTGGTCTAGTCTGCAAACTTGCACAAAATGCCTTCTAGTCCTACATCCAAGTCATGCAGCTGAACCAAAAACCAAAAGAATGAAGATGGGAGCCTGCTTGCATTTTGAGCCACTACTAGGAGGTAGGTAGGACTGCTGTATGTGGGCAAGGATGTTCAGTTTGCTAAAAGAAAAAAATCAAAGGGGAAGTGTAAAAATCCCTTGTTTGCATGCTCTAGGAAACCTCCTATCAATATAAATTGTGTGTATACATTCAAGTCATGCAGAAATGCCACCTGTCCCATCAATGAGGGCAGAGCACAGCCAACAGCTGTACAAAAACCACAGGGGAGCTTTACAGAGTGTGAGTGGGGCGTGGTGTGTGGCTACAGAGGATGTCTCTCACTCTGAACTGTATGGCCTCCAACCTTATGAAAAATAAGTAGTCTCAAATAACTATCTTATAGCAGTTTTGTGCCTTAAATGGAAGGGAGACAGTCTGATATTAAAACTTGTTTATTTACATTGTTATGTTTTACAGGAAAATTGGTTTAAGAAGTCACTGCTTCTTTTTCTTCATAGTTGCAGCATTTTGAAGATGTTAAGACAGATCTGAAGGATTTAAAACACATCTTATTCCAGCCTTCCTGAGTAGCCTGGATCTGCAAAGTGAGACCATCTTGGTGGTGTTTTTTTTTCCTCCTTTTTTTTTTTCTTCAGCCCTTTGAGCTTCAAGTAAGGCATTTACTTTCTTTTTTTTTATTTTTCTTTTTTTTATGAGGTTTAAGCAAAACAAAAGATAATCAATTCCTGTGAGGTTTGTTGCCATAACGTACTTTGTCCATAATGTACTCCTAGCACACTTATGTTGCCCATATTGGTAGTTAAATACTTTGCCTTCAAAATGTAAAAGGACTCCGTTCAGCCTAATATCCATGCTTGGACATGCAAACATTTGTTGCTTTTCATAGACAAATGGTTCAGCTATTTGCCTGGTGTTCTACCTTGCTGGTTCTTATGATACCCCCTGCCTTTACGCTTTCTAGTGGTGGTGCTTGTATTAAACTGACATCTGCAGAGGTTGGAAGCTTCTACTGGACAAACACCTGTTCTTCCCCCAGCCTGTATGACTTCCTCATGCCCTTTCCTTGCTCTCTGCAAGCACTTGTTGTGGCTACAGCCATGCATGCTGTTCCCAGGTAGGCTGGCCGGCCAGCCTCTTGTTCTGGGACAAGACTTCCTCCCTTTGCACCTACTGTCCCCAAGAACCCCATGGTGAAAGATCAGCTCAAGAGGAAAACTGGCTTGGGATGTGGAGAAAGATCAGAGGAGCAGGACTTGGTGGAACACCTCCTCTCTGTGTGGGTCCGTGCTGCTGTTTGGTTCCCTGGCTGGCTCTCAGACACATGATCTGATTTTTGGGTGGCTCTTTGTAAAGTCAGGAGTTGGACTTGATGATCCTCAAAAAATCATTAAAGTTGGAAAAGACCTAAGATCATTTAGTCCAACTGCCAACCCTTCCCTACCATGCCCTTTAATCATGTCTCTTAGTGACACATCTACACATTTCTTGAATACCTCTAGGGACTGTGGTTCCACCTATTCCTTGGGTAGCCTGTGCCAGTCAACCACTCACTGAGAAGAAACTCTGCCTAATAACCAACCTGAGCCTCCCCCGGTACAACCTGAGGCTATTACCTCTCATCCTAACACTAGTTACTTGGGAGAACTGCCCCTCACCTCCCTATAACTTCCCTTCATGTCACTGTAGAGAATGATAAGGTCTTCCTGAAGTCTCCTCCAGACTGAACAATCTCAGTTCCCTCAGCTGTTCCCCATAAGACTTTGGATTGCTTAGGATCCTGTCCAACTCAGGATATTCTATGTTCTGTTATATTCTATGGCTTTGCATGAGTGGTTCCTTTCCTTCCTAACTGGGACCCCACAGGGTGATGGGAGGGCTATCGTGATCACAAAGGGGTTTTTGTGGAGAGAATTTAAATACACCAGGCTGGAGGAGCCCACAACTATTTCATGTGGAAGAGGGGAAGGACAAGTGACTGTGACTACTTTGTTAGAGACTTTGAAGGGGGCTAGGTTAGAAAAGGGCACAGCAAATGTTCCCAAAGCTAGCCTAAGCTGTTTTTAATTTGTAATCATTTTGTAAACAGCCAATTGAAGCAGCGGAACTCTGGTAACTGTTCTTTTTTTGTGAGACATAGCATCACAACTGCAGGCTGGAAATTGGTTTGCTTCCCCTTGTGTAGAAAGTGCAGGAATTCCTTTATGATGTACTTGGCTCCTTTTGAGGTTTACTTCGCACTTTCTTCATCTTCTGTGAATTTTTAGCACACTTCTTTTGCTTCAGATTAAGTATTTGTATATGGTCAACTTCGTGCACATTTACACTCAAAGAACTTATCTTCTCTAAGTTGCTGAGCTCCAGTTTATTCCAGAATCCATTTATCACAGAATGGCTAAGGTTGGATGAGACCTTACACATCATCTAGTTCCATCTCTCTGCCATAGGCAGGACTGCCACAAGGTCCCATTCAATCTGGCCTGGAGCACCTCAAAGTGATGGGGCGTTCACAACCTCTCTGGGCAGCTGTGCCAGTACTTCACCTCCCTCTTAGTGAAGAGTTCTTTCCTAATAACTAATCTCTATTTCCCCTCTTATAGTTTAAAACCATTCCTCCTTGCCCTATCAGTATCAAACTGTAAGGAGTTGGCCTTTCTCCTCCTTATAAGCTCCCTTCAAGTATTGGCAAGCCCCAGTAAGGTCTCCTCTGCACCTTCTCTTCTCTGAGCTAAACAAATCCGACTTCCTCAGCCTGTCTTCATAGGAGAAAGCAGTCACGGTGTCAGTCTAGCTGAGCCCTAACCTTTTGGAGACTCTGAATGTTTCCATCCAGTGGTTGATAAGGTGTTTTTATGCCAGCAGTACAAATCACAAATGTTTTCTTTTTCACGTGAGAAAGATGTTGGCCTTATTGTTCTGATGGTGTTCTTTGACAGGGCAAATAAACTTACTCATTGTGTTAAAACTTAAATAGCAATACATTAATGAGTGTCTGGTACAAATAACCGATAGGCGTAATCAAATAGGTTTTAAGCTAAAGCCTGTAATTCAGTCTCTTGTTTCATTTTTGTCTTTTTTTTTCTTAGAAAAAAGAAGATCCCAGGAAGTACTGTACTTATTGTGCTTTCTTATTGTCCAGGAATCCATTTGAAGCAGCCAAGTAGTTCTTATGGAATCCATTCTTGACTTCTGTTGTGACAGGGGTTTCCTTTGCAGCTGTTCTTGAAGGTACTTTCTGGTATGTCTACAAAAGCAAAATTTAAAGAAGCTAGTTGCATTTGTTTAAAGCCCCTGAATATTATTTCTGGTTAATAGTAAAATAGAGATGCCTAGTGTTTGTTGATGTGGATATACATTTGCTTCACGTTTTAAGGGAACAGCATTAGTTTTGCTGCTGCACATGATGTAACCTGACTAGTATTACCTGTAATACTTCTCGGTGTCAAGAAGGATTTTAAGCCTTTCCCACTGGATGCTGTATCTATGCAGGCAGGCTGGAACAGTCCTTGCTAAAAATATGTTTATTCACATATAGATGTGAGTACGAACTTATTTTAGGTACTGATGCTTGTTCTACCTGTTTGGCATATGGTTTGCAACAAGAGCAATGTGCAAGAAGTTTTGTTTTCCCCTTGTCCTTGTCAAAAGGAGGGATATAGAGAGAGAGACTGCTTACCTTAATGTAAAAGTTAACGAAGAGGATGACCAGTGTGGCCATGTAGGAAGACTGGAACATGAGGCAGCCAAAGGGAAACCCACATGGCTTCACAGCTGCGCTGAGTGTGTGCACAATGGTGAGCAGAAACTGGATCTGGAGTAAAAAGATCATGCCTGAATGTTTACTAAGGAAGGACTGACACCAGCTAAATCGTATGTAAATAACTTTACCTAGTTCTGCTCTTTGAAATTGGAAATGGTTCCTTTCTCAACACATGAATGTATTGTGAGGGTTAGGTTAAAATGATGCTCTTATGACTTTTAAAAAAAAAAAAAAAAAAGATCTGGATGTTTCCAGGAGTTTTTAGGTCAAATGGCTGGCAAAATGAAAGCTCTTTTAATAGGGATTGTTATATCTTCCAGGCTGTGTCATGCAAGGACGGTGTTGTCCCTTGGCAGAAACCTGAGAAAATACTGGAGACTTGAGGCAATAGCTTTACAAGTCTGAACAGAAAAAAGGAAATCTGAGGTGCAAGAAGGTTAGTCAGGGATGGGGAAAAACAAAGTAATAATGGCAGAGAAGGGGGGCTGTCAATGTTTAGAGCTGTGAAACACAGCTTCCATCTTGTTGTCTAGAAACTGTTTATGTTATTCTCTATTTTGTAGTTGTACTGTAGTTACATATCTTAGGAGGAATCTATTTTTTCTCACTTGAATGAGACACCAATAATATATTAAAAAAACTGTCAATTTTTGAGCATCATTCCAGTTACTCAATTTTACTGGGCTGTACTAATGAATGAATCTTCATAATAGCTTTGTTATAATTTAATGCTACAAGTGTCAGTATTTGTCTGCCACTCCTTTTGCCCCCTCTGGCATTTCTGTCAATTAAAAGTGAAAGTAATGTGGATACATACCAGCTGTGCCTGAGTGAGGTATTTCTTCCACCACAGATACTTTCGCATAGAAGGGATGACTGACAGTCCGTAATAGGAGTACATGAGCACGTGGATAAAGCTATTCAAAGTGGGTCCAAAGAAACCTATAAAAATGCAATGCAGAAAGCATTTTACGATATAAACTGCTAAAAAGTGACAAGATGTCATTACTGTACACAGGAGGCATTGCTGAGTAATCTTCACTTTGTGCTGCGGGTGCATCTCAGTTTGCCATTCTGATGCAGCAGTGAGTGCTTTACCCTGTCTCTGAATGAAGCTTACCTGCTGTGACTTTATCTGAGCATTGCTCTTGTATTATTCAGTGGCTAATTTTCCTATTTTCTAAATTTTCTTAGGAACTCTGATAAGGCTGCAGGAAGCCTCCACTTATGCTAAGCCCTGGAAAAGTGTGTTACGAGACACTTGAAATAGTTACCTACCCTTTGGTAAATGGTCTGTAGTCCTTCCTCACCTCAGCAGGGGAGATGAAGATTGTTGCAGTGTCTTAAAAGCTAAGTCACTTTGAATTGCAGAATTGTAGAATCATTAAGGTTGGAGAAGACTGCTGAGATCATCTAGTCTAACCATCAATCCATCACCACCATATCTGCTAAACCATGTCCCCATGTGCCACATCCAAGTGGTTCTTGAAACCTCCAGGAACTTCAGCGACTTCACCTCAATCCTGGGCAGCCTATGCCAGTGCCTTACCACTCTCTGAGGTTAGTGTTGTAAAATATGTTAGATCCAAGTATAATGACTCTCAGAAGTCTGATGTTTCTGCCATTTCAGTGTGAAGTATAAGACAGCACCCACTAGACAGAGCTGCCCTGTTCAGAATTCAAGTAGTAGTTTTGAACTTTTGTGTATCGTTCAGTAGCATCACCCTGTCTAAAAGTTGTTTGAAGAAATGTAAATATGAGCAGTTGTGGCAGCTAAGTGGAGAATTGAGGACGTAACATTCAACTTTTTTTTTGCCCTGACCTTTTAACCTTGCTTTTAATTTCACTGAGATCTGCACGTGTTCAACAATTCTGAATGATAAGCTGTGAACCTTAACTATGCTGTGCTGTAACACAGGGAAGGACTGGCTTTGCACAATGATATGATTTCCCTCCAGCTGCTGGTGGTGCATCCCTCAGGTGATGGACTGAACAGAGACTTACTTTGCCCACAAGGTATCCAGTTCAGAACACACCACCAAATGTTAAACATTGTGGCATGGTGGTACACGTGGAGGAAGGTGATCTGGCTGCTTTTCTTCCTCAGTACAAAGAAGATAGTGTCTGCAAATTCAATTACTTTAGAAAAATAATACCACCATAGCACCTTGGCTACCTGTAAAAGCAAGAACAAAGCAGCAGGAGATCAGTATCTGTCCAAAAAAAGGGCTTAAATACTGCTGTACTTCATCATTAAGTGCACAACTCTTCCAAAGGCATCAAAGTCATGTTGAAGGAGGAGCACAACCTCTGGCTTGAGTTTTATTTCTCTTTGAAGAATGAGGCAGTTTATGGAGAACTGATCATTCTTAAATGCGATTATCTAATATAAATTTACAATTAAAGATAACTTTAAAAACATACTTTGAGGATGGGCCTTTCAATCATTCTGTTTGTTTGTATTTTCTTTCAAAGATGTTACTGTTTACATTTTCTTGATGATGGGAAAAGGCATTTAACTGACTTTTTCCTTGCCAAAGCACACATTTTGAAGGCTGAAGAAAATTATGGGTTGTCTAGTCTCTCCCCCTCGAGCTCTAATCTTATCTAGAAAGCAACAGGGCTGAAAACACATGGACTTGCTGTGATGCAGAAATAAGGATTGAAATAAGAGATGAGCCAAGGCAACAAAAAGCGATCTGAAGTTTTCTGGAGTTCAGAGTTTGACTTGAATGCATTTCCACCTACAGCTCAACATTGCAGGTGACTGATTTTTCTCTTAGTCTTTAAAATGATCCATATACTCTCAATAGTCAGGATAAAAATGTATGTAAAACATTTGTCTGTGTGTGTATATATATATAATATATACACATAGAATCCTACACATATGTGTGTATGTATATATGTGCCTGATGTATGGCTTATAAAAATGCTCCCTGCCATGCTTTCTATAGTGAGGATGCATCAGGAAGTGAACATCTGTTTGCAGCAGGACTGCTGCTGATGCTGAGTGCTGTCTGTCCTCACCCGGATGTCAGCCTCCCCAGCGCTGTGGAGGTTCTGGCACTGCAAGTTGTAGCCTCCTTCCCACGTGGCAAGGATGAGCTGGAACAGAAAACACAGTAGTGATGTTTGGAAACAGACAAGGCAGTCCTCCCCTACCCTGTAGCTGTTCTGAAGCAAAACAACATCGTGAGAGTATTGTAAGTTCCCATTCATTCTGTAAACTGATGCTTGCAGACTAGACAACTTGCTAGTATCTTCTGTTTTACACTTGCAAAGGCTTCAAATTCTTTTGGAAATATGCACTGAAATAGTGCACCTTTTACATTTCTCTGGCTTTACAGCCTTCAAGGCATCCATGAATATCTCTTGTTACTTAGTGCAGTGATCCTTACTCTAAAGCTCACGACTGAGTATTTTACCTGTGTCCTGAAGCAGTATGAACAGAGCTTGACAGACCTACTAGTGAGAGACTCTTGCTGTCCTGGAGAAATATCCCTGCTGCCAACCAAGCAAACGAGGTAAATCCAAAGCAATGCAAAAGGAGAAATATTTCCTTATGCTATAAGCAAATCTCCCTGTTGTGTGTCGTTAAATGCATGAAGAAGGGGAGAGTGCATATGGTGCTGAGTGGAGAAATGGACAGATGAGCAATTTCAAGTTGGCTATCTACTATGTAGAAGGAAAGCAGCTCACCTAATGGAACATACCAAATGAACCAGGTACGTAACTGGAAGAGAAGCTGGCAACCAGAGGACGTTCAGTTACTAGCTCTCTGTTTCTCTGATATTAAGTGCGTTACTCTTACTGGCTCAGTTGTGTTCCTTTTCACGTGGTGAGTGCTCTTACAATTCTTCAGACTTGATGGTATTGTTTAGAGAATCATAGAATGGCCTGGGTTGAAAGGGACCTCAAAGATCATCTAGTTTCAACCCTCCTGCTGTGTGCAGGGTTGCCAACCACCAGACCAGGATGCCCAGAGCCACATCCAGCCTGGCCTTGAATGCCTTTTTTATTGGAAGCGTGTGCAAATGGAGGTTGTGTTAAAGAAATGAGAAAGCTCTCTCCTTTAGAAATGCAACTTATTTCTCTAGAAAACATTTCTGTGAATATTTTACCTTCTTATGTAAACTATGTAAGCCTATCCTGAAAATAATAACACGTGCATTGTTTTTGACGTTATATGGAAAAAGAAAAAGATCAGGTAAAGATGAAAATAGTTGCCCTTTGAAAAATTTCTGCCAAGTAGCAACATTCTGTTTAGTAGCAGAGGTTTCATATTTTGCTGTTGCTCTAGTTTTCTTAATTGATTCCAGTAGTTACACCAGTAAATGACCTTTACTCGCCTACTCAAATATAAAGAGAATAAGGATTCACAATGTCAAATCTCATTTGTTTCCCCATGTGGTGGAAGTGAAGGTATGATGCAGTGGTACTTGGGCAATGGCACTTTCATACAATACGCAGATAGTGGAATGTAACATTAATCATCCTGAATTAATCATTAACACAATCTTAATAACTAAAACAATTCAGAAGGGTTCTCTGGCTAAGACACTCAACTGTAAACTCATCTGTGAATAGAGTTTGTTGAAGAACATTCATGTAGGTTGCCTTTTTTTAGACAGGTCTCCAAGAATTGTGGTGGAACAGATAGCTGCTGTTGTGCCCTGAAGATCTCAAGTAAGCTATAGTCTGGCAAGACTATCAACCTTACTAGTAAGTGTCTTGGGCTGGATTGTTCAGCTTAGGTCTGAGGGATACTGGAAGCCTGGTCCCAGCGCTGCCTTTTGGTCAGTGCCTCAGTTTCCCCAAATGTAGTGTTAGTAATGGTGCCCTGTCAAACATGAAATGGGTGCTGAATCTACAAGATTTTTCATACTGAAAATATTTTGTTTTTCCTCTTTATTGAGCAAGTGAGATATTTTTAATGAAAACAGAAATGCATAGAGTACATTTTTGGCTACTCTTTTGTAAGGTTTTTGTCTAGTTAGAGGTCTGGAAATTAAACAGGTTTGACCAATAGAAAAGGTTGGCTAATCCTGTACTACAGTTGCCTGTATTTGGTATCTCAACCTGCGATGTTTAGAGCTGGAATCCGTGCTTCGTCTCCTATCCTGCGTAGGAGACTACTTATTCCAGAATGGAGGAAGTAAGTGGTCCCATGCTTTCTCCTTTCATGGAATCATAGAATGGCCTGGGTTGAAAAGGACCATGATGTGATCATCTTGTTTCAACCTCCTGCTACATGCAGGGTTGCCAACCACCAGACCAGGCTGCCCAGAACCACATCCAGCCACCAGGGATGGGGCATCCACAACGTCCTTGGGCAACCTGTTCCAGTGTGACACACTGGAGGATTATATCTCCTATCTTGGACAGCTTTTGTATACTACCTTGTATGATGTGATAAATCTCGTCATGTGAAATTTTTGATCTTGATTTCCAGTAATGTTCTATGAAAACCTATTTGAAAGTAAGTGAGATCAAGTGCTGTTTGGTTAACAAACTGGCTAAAAGTTGTACCTAGATGCAGAGCTCAGGAAGGTCATTAGGAGAGACATGGAGAATTCAGAGAATGAAACCTGAGCTATGAGGATGATGTGTCCAGCAAGAACTGCAAATGAGAGCAGCAAAGTCAGCTCCTCAGTTCTCTCAACAAATACTCTGATTAGGGTAGAAGAATGCCTGGGAATGTAATTCAACGCAAATTGCATTCTAACTTGTTCAGAAAACTTGATTACTTTTGTCCTGATGCTTCACTGCTTTGCACAGCCTTTTCAGTGACCTTTTGCTGTCCACATTTTACACTTTCTCCTTTTTTTTCCTCCAAATGATAGGAAAGCATACCTGATTTCTTATTTCTCTTATTGTTCTTTTCTTCTTGCTCCCCTAAGCTTAAATAGCCTTTGTGCTAACAAAAGCGTTACTTCAAAGGAAGCCATCAACTCAAGTATCAGTCTTTGTTTCTCTGCTAAATTTATGGTTGCTAGCTTTTTGACAACTTGTGAAGGACTAAATGATTATTTATTACAATATTAAAGTAAATCATCTTGTTAATCTGTTGACTTCTGTAGCAAAACTCCAGGACAGTTGAAAACAACTGGAATCTAAAATGATTTTTTTTTAAATTTTCCTCAGATCTTCCAGTACTCAAGCTCTATCTACTCTGCTTTTTAACACTTGCACAGTTAGGAAGCACATCTTTCTCTTTTTAGGCATTATAATAATGAAATAAGTGTAATTTTATTTCGGTTTACTTTCTGTAATCCTGACATCATAATGAGATGTCATCCCAGTTGCAATGTGTAGGGCTGAAAATGGTGGCCCTAATCATGCTAGCCTTAAGCTTTTGACCTTTCTCTGCTCTCAGAGAATACAGAGAATGCAATTCTTGAACTCCTGGAAGTCTCCCATCATCTTGGTGCTTATGATTTGCTTTCAGGTCATAAATCTAACTCAGAAACTTCAGGCTTACTCTGCATTGAACTTTCAGCTCCTGGAAAAATGAAAAATAGAGGAAATCATGATGCTTTTTTCTAATCTTGCAAGGTGTAAGAATTTTCTTCTGGTCTCTCTAAGAAGCTTAGTGCACTGCTCATAGTACTTGTGCAATTCTGCTTTATTCCTTTTGGCACCCAGCAGGCAGCTCTGACTTTTGCTCTGGATTGACAGGTCTCACATGCAAGACCTGCTTACTCACATAGATAGGTTACTTGCTTACAATCCTCACCTCCTGTGGATTTGTAGTAAGTCTGTGGATCTACCTGAGGATAAAGGCACTTGAGATACCACGCCACTCATATGCTAATGACACATCTCTAGATCTTTTTAAACTGACCTAGATTGTGCCAGAGCCCTGGTTTTCTCAGTGCCCAATTGACAAAGGATGGGTGGGAGCTAGCTGAGATTTAATTTAAATAGGGCAGTAGCAATAGTGCTGGGGAAAGCAAGCTAAGATACTGATAGAGATTGTATTTTTAATGATAAAGAGTAACATCATGTTCATGTGAGTAGTTTCTCAATTCAGACATCAGTATTTGTCTGCCTTGTTTCCAGGTACAATTCAGTAACAAAATTGTGAGGATTTCAACCTACAGGTCCATGGAGTGTGGTCTGAGAGCTGACTTGCCCATGAATTAATTTTAAAATACATAGAGACTTGACTGCTTTTAACATTAGGCTGGTTTCCTCTTCATAGTTGGCACCTTTGCAGTATTAAGCATAGATTTGTGTAGAGGAAAGGCATATTCTTGATTCAGTGAAACTGATAAAGGTTTTGATTTTTATTAAAATGACAGTAGTTGTTTCATGCATGGTACATCTTAAGCACTTGAGGGATTGGCTGGACTCACAGTTAACGGAGCTAAAATCGGCCCTGAGATACCTCATGTCCATGGTGTGATGCAGAAAGCTTCTGGATCAGAAGTGGAAATCTGCCTTTGAAGATTGAAAAGAGTTAAGAGTTTTTGCTACAAGCTCTGACTTCCTGCCTGCCTTGAGGTTGCATGATTTGACTGTAGTCAAGGGACTGTGAAACTAGGTTAGGCACAGTGAAGAACTGAAGAACTGCAGCACAGCTATCCCCACCAGTTGATTTATCGTGTTTCTTATTAAAGCTAGCATATTGGATAGTCTACATTTGGGCTGTACTCCTAACATAGACAAGGTCTTTTTCTTTTGAACATCTAAGTAGTACCCACTCCATTCTGGAGCTACCACAAGAAAAGATGTGTGGCATGTTGTAAACAAAACCAAGAAGAGAAGTTGAACAATTTGTTATTCATCTTTATAACAGAGCTCATTATTTTGTGGTTTATCTCTGTTACAGAGAGTTGGAGGTGAAGTGGGAGGATGGAGGAATAAGGCCATTGTTACAGATCTCTCTAATTAAGAATTAATCCTGAACCATACTCACTAGAGAGATCAGTTGTGTTTACATAAACCACTGTGGAGAAGGCTCTAAATATAGGCAACTCCTGTCTTAAAGAGCTTACCTTCCATTTAAGACAGAGGAAGTAGGAGCCAGAGAGAGGCTTTGGAAATGAGACGTTCTGAAACATGGAGTCACTGTACCCTTAGTCACTACTGAAGATTTCTGCCTTCCTGGCAGTGAAGTGCTGGAACAGGTTCCCCTTAGAGGTGGTGGATGCCCTGTCCCTAAAGTCATTCAAGGTCAGGCTAGATGGAGCTCTGAACAGCCTGATGTAGCTGTAGGAATCCCTGATCACTGCAGGGGAGTTGGACCAGAAGGTCTTTACAGGTCCCTTCCAGTTCAAACAATTCTATGATTTGCCTGTTTCTCTTCAGCAGGGACATTCAAGCTCCTCAGGCAGGTCTGCAAGTTTCAACGTTCATTGTGCTCCTTCACAGTAAAAGCTGTGAATAGGAACCAGACAAACAGGCTATGAAACAAGTTATTCTATACAGAGACTCTATTATGAAAGAATGGCTTCTGCAATGTTCAGCTGGCCTGGCCGACAGTCCAGAGCTGTAAAATCTGCAATAAAGCAGCCACATTGTCCCAGGGTTCCAGACAAATGCAGAACTGGATGCTGGGAAGCACTGCCAGCCATTCCTGGCTACGGTTTGGGTGATGCAAGTCAGCAGGCTCCAGCTACAGGGACCAGGTCTGAAGGGATTTATCTGAGGACTTGTGCAAATCAGTGACCATCTGCAATGAAGTTAGCCTTGGGAAGGGTGATGAGGCAACTGGAAGAGAGTTGGCTTCCTGTCCCCTCCCTGGAACTGTTCAAGGCCAGGCTGGATGGGGCTTTGAGCAACCTGGTCTAGAGGGAAATATCCCTGCCTGTAGCAGGGGGGTGGAACTAGATGGTCTTAAAGGTCCCTTCCAACCCAAACCATTCTGTGATTCAATGCAGTTCCTACAAGGATATGAAGGTAGCAAAACACAAGTTCATTTAATTCACCTGCAACTTGCCAAATTTCTTATTCACTTACTTGTGGCAGGTCGAATCAGCCTATAAGGGATAGGGAGCAATATTTTTCAGTACAGTCTATCCTTTTTGTTGAGTTTTGCTACTAAAGATAGATATCTGTATAGACAGATTATCTGTATGGAGATTTAAACACTGAAGTGTTAATGTAAATTCTGGAGAAAAATCAGAATGAAGTCGTCAGACCTTCCAGCAATAATTGGGCTTGTTTCTCCTTAGTTCTGGGTCTCATCCTGTGCTCTCAGATACCCAGAGTGACTCCAGGAGTCAGACAGAGGTTTGACCAGGACAAAGCTCTGTGTAGCAAGGTCAGTCTTCTTCACAAAAGCACAAATCTGAACTGCTGTTTAACCTATTGACCTGGCCACTCACCTGGGGTTTAGCTTAAATTAATTTAAAACTTGAAACCTTTTAGGGTCCTGTTTAGCTTCTGAGTGAAGCAAAGTTTCTTGTCCAGTTAAAAGAACACTCTGTCCTTGGTTTTCTCATGGAAACTGCTGTGTAGTTGAGCCCATAAAGCAGGAAATACTGAGAGAGCTGTGCAGGCAAGAGTGTGTGATGTCAGCTTACACCTCTACAGATCACACTGACACCAAGAGGATCCTTCAGCCCAGGTTTCTCATGCCCTGAGTCATATTTTGCCACGTCAAAAAATATTTTAGTGTTTTTTGTCTTCTAGTGTTTGTTTCATAGCTCCCTTCTGGTTCTGAAGGGATCCTGATTTCTGTGAGCAATGTTCCTTCCTGATAAATACTCAGAAAATAATCTGTGAGACCACATTCAGCCTCCCAGTCCCCCGAGCACATGTTCTTGGCTGAAGTGGCAGGTTTTTATCATCTGTCTGATGTTTAATGTTTCTGCTATCCCACGTGATGGAAGGCTTTTTAGTCAAAATAGCAGAAAAATACCACTGAATTGCCAATATCATAAATCAGTACTAACTCTCATGTAAATCAGTATACATTTAAATACGGGCATTTGTACAAAACAATAATTTCATCAACAGTCATGCAAATAAGAAACAATCCTTGAGCGTAGTTGTGTGCTGAACAATGAGGTGTGGGCATGTTTTAGTTGAGCAAGTGCTCAGATTCAAATTCAAACTTGTAAACACTGCCCTGGCAGTGGTCAGTTGTCTCCAGGGATGGACTGGAGCTCAGAAAGGACAGCTGAAACTGAGGGCTGATTTGAGGGGGTACTCTGTAAGTCTGCCCAACTGCTGCGTGCTTGACATTAAATTTACTTTGCTGTTGATATCAAATTTCCTTGTGAAATTATGCTTCTAAGGTTTTTTTTGCTAAAAAATGTATGTTTCTCACCTTCGTCAGCTGTGTTGCATTGAAGAACACTTACCTCTATGAGCATGTACAAGGAGAGCAGCGTAATCCCAAGGTTATATACAATGAGGTGAGCCCTGAGAGAGAAAGGCTGCCTATTCTTCATGAACTTGTTGCCCAACCATATGCACAGCAGGTACGCAACAGTGAGGAAAAAGGTAGGAAGGTAAGAATCCAAAAGGAGCCATCCTCTAACTCTGGAATCTGAAAAGAAATGCATGCAGGAAGCAGTTAATGTCATAGTAAAATACTACTGAAATATGGCAGGTCATATTGTGAAAAGCCTGGGAGTGGATCTGCCATGCTCTGCTCACTTTCAAGAGCCATTTGCTGCTATTTCCTCCCCTGTGTGGCATGCTAGTACAGAGAATGTGGTGAAAGCCACAAAAAAGTGTTCCATAGCAACCTAAGGTTGCTTTCACACCCTCATTTTAACAAGGATGAGAAAATGAAGAGAATAATCCTGTATGCCTTTTATTAAGGTGTTAACTTAATATTTAATTAAACCATATCTTAGCCTGTTAATGGACGGACAGCTTGAAGTTAATATTAAATACGAAGTATGCATGAAAAGTTATCAGTTCACACATTTTTTTAATTTTGCTTTTGTTATGTCCATACAAAAGTAAAATAACTTTTGCTAGAAAACATTTCTACAAAGTTTTTTCCAAGAACGTTTTATTTAAAAAAGAAATTGTAGATGATTACTTTGGTTATCAAAGATATTTACTAATGTAAAAGCTTACTTTCTTGTGGTTTCTGTTCCATTTGCCTGATTCTGAAATGCAATATTAAGGTCAAATCCTGCTTGCCTTATTCACACAAGTAATCTCATTGACAGTAATCAGATAGTTCAGTGTGTATGAGCAAAGCCTAATCCTGCATGCCAATCTGCAGGAACTGTTCTGCTGCCCTATGAGCAACTGGATGTCATAAGTAAGAGAATTTTTTTTCTATTTATTTTTTTCAACATGGAGCAAAATTTTAAAGTTAATTCATAACAGCATTCTATGAACACTTATCTAAGGAAATAACAAGGGGCATCATGGTTTTTCGAAAAGGCCATTCTAAATCTGTATGTGAAGAAGTAAATCAGAGAGAAGCGATTGTGTAGCTCACAGTAGTTCTTGCTGCTCTCAGCAACTGTTTAAAATTTAGTATGTTTTATAAAAACACTGACATCAGGTTAATTAAAAGGTGTTAAGTTAAAGGACAGGTGTTTACAATGCATAAAGAGATATTTTACTGTATTTTCAGCCTGTGGTGAATTTGGAAAGGACTGGTCAGTGGGTGATGCACACAAAGTGTGCCTGCGTATTTTAAAAACTGTTGCACATCGCTGTTCTGCTTTGTTTTCTGTCTGGCTACTCTTTCTTCGTAAACACATGTGCAGAAGTATAAGTAAAGTGACATTTTAAATGCTTATGAACGTGGCTTGCTTTCTTGCTCATTAGTCTCCCTCCACTTCCTCACTTCCATTGCAGTGGCTGTTACTCTCAGCTGTTGGATTTGAGGTCCACCTAGGATGTAAGCTCTTTTGCAGGGAAGCCTTTCAATCAGACATAAGTTACCATGGAAGTCCAGTGCTCTCCTGGCTCTGCTTCTTCCTTCTGGACTCCCAAAACAGCTCCTCTCCCCAATAGAAAATGTGTATGGCTAAACCAGATGTGAAAGCACAACCATGCATTGCAAAGCATCATCCTTCCTTCAGGGTGGCCTTGCTTTGCATTACCAATGTTTTCTATCTTCAGAGCTCGATGACTATTTGAGGTCACCTTATTGTGAGAGTAAAATGCTTCCAACAACCCTCTCAAAAGTGACAAGAGGTTTGGGAGGATGCTTTTGAGGTAATTCTGCTCTCATGTGGCCTCTAAACAGGACACAGAAGTCAGAGGGCTGGTAAAGGTTGTATGTGTAAGAGTTGATCTAGTGTATGTTTTAGGAGTGAAAGGGTTTAAATTGTTTTACTGGTATCCTAAAAGAAGATGAAAAAAGCAGTTATATCAGCAAGAGTGCTCTCTAGAAAGGATTTCCCCATTGGAGGATATGACATTTGGTTTATAAAGGTTGTTTGCCCAAAGGCCAACTGGTATCAGTTAACTAAGCAGTATGTTTGCTCAGCAAGGAAAAGCAATTAGAAGAGACAAGAATACAAAATAAACTGAACAGTGCCAGATCTGTCCTAATATGCCCTCAGAAAGCTAGTTTTCCTCTGCACTGAGTGGCCACAACCATGTGGTCTGATCCATACAATCTGCTCGTGTTTGTTCAGGTCAGCATGACAAGTTATGATCTGTTCTGTTTCATTTTCAGGTGTCTAGAGGAATTATTAAAACCAGTTTCCTTACTGATAGTTTTCCTACTTGACCTTGGTACCTTGAAGGGTAAGATAGTTATCAGCAAAAAGCAGCCAGAGAATCCTGATTGTTTTGTTTCCGTGTCCTTAGATCACAAAAGAGGGAGGTTTTTAGATGGTAGGAAGGCAAAGGGACTGTATTAAAAAAAAAAAAAGCTAGAGTATTTATATTGACTGACAGTAGGTTACTCTGTGTTCAAGCAATACAGTATCAATGAGAGGAAGCATTTTTACACTGTTGAACCCATACAGCATCTGAATTTGAGACTGCTGCAGTGAATAAAACCACAGTGTGAAAGTGCTGGATGACAACACGAGTAGGAGAAGGCGCACCCAAGCTGACTGTTCCGTGAATAAGCTCATTCACAGTCCCTGCCCATTATGTGCCAGACTTTTGGGGCGAAATCTTGGCTCCTTTGAAATGAGTGGCAAGCCTCCCAGGCTCTTTAAACCTATCAGTCTTTTATCAGGGAGGCTTAGAAACATTTTGATTGAGGTCTCTGCATAGCGTTAGCCAGCTGTTGTATGAATAGATTCAGATCTTCTCAGATGCTGAGGGTAGATGGTTCTGTAGCAATGCTTTACTACTGTTTATATTCAGTTGAGTAGAGAGAGAGCGCTTACTACTTTATCCTAACTTTGTTAAAATATCTATTCTTTTGCTTCTTTGACAGATTAAAAAAGCAACCCATTAACTAGATTTGGGTCTTACAACTCAGTGTTGCTTTGCATAATGTTAAATAATATCAGTAGAGCAAGAAAGCCCTGAAAAAGGTGGTTTTTTTTCAGAGTAATTTGTATTTTTTTTTTTTACTCTTAACCATTTTGTCCTCTGTATAGATAATCTATCCAGAATAGCATGGACAAAAATCAATTTGTAAGACCACTTCTTATCAAGAGATGCAACTGATAAGGATGTATGCATCTTCTGTTCCCTGATCCAAAGGACTTGGTCTGTAAGGTCAAATGTAAATTTGATCTAAATCTGTGTATGAAGTCCAGCTGGCAGTGAAGAGCACAAGCACAAAAGAGGCCTTCATCTCAATCAAATTTGTATCTTTAACAGCACACTTTTTGTTCTAATTGTGCAGTATTGTGTTTATCTGGTAACTACTACTATGAGCAAAGGTTGCCTCCAGGAACTCATGCCTGGTTTTGTCCCTGGTTTGGCATTAAGTAATGATAACTATAGCCAGTGTAGTGATTCTCCTGTCTCAAGAGTTGCTACCTGAAATATAGACTACATGTATGGCATTGATTTGAAAAGTATTGAGTACTGATGTTTATTTTTATGCTATCTTGTTGCCAAATGAAGTGGGTACAGTATATGAAAGCTCACAGAGAAAGAAGGGGGATAACGTGTTGGTTTTAGACAACTGGGAAAACTCCCACAAGAATTCATTAGATTTTTGTTTGTGGGGCCATTCTAACCAATTTAAAGCAGTTTGTGTCTGACTATGAATTATTTATGGGTGTAAACATATTGGAGGAAGCTTTCTTACTCATGAAATGTATGATGCAGCATCGTTATGGTGAAGAGGCATGGAGAAACAAATGCTGTCTTCAGCATTCATGTCTGGAGAGGGACAGTGATGTACTTGGCAAGTACTACAGATAATACATAACTGACGCGCTTTGTAAAAATCCAGAGAGATCTGTGTTGGATTGACTATAACTTGCCCCTTCAAAAAATTTTTTTCTGAACCAATGAGGAAAGAAGTGGTAGAGAACTCCACTCCCATTTAAAAAAAACAAACAGTACTTTTATGCTAATAATTGGGTTTTGGTTTTTGATAATATTCAAATATATTACTGTAGAGGCTGTTAATTAAGACAGGTAGAATGAGTTTAATTACTTCTGCTGTAGTTCCCAAGCTGTTGTTTATTCACTAGAAAGCTTTCTTTCAAGCTTCGCGTCTACAGCAGAAGGGATGGAAGACATTTTGTACTCAGCCAGACAGCCAAAAAAAAAAAAGAGAATTTATTGGTTTTAAAAATGTCACAGTTTTTTTTCCCTTCTTCTCCTAAATAAGGAAGAACTGTTTCTGCAATTTATAAAATAGTACTGCAACAAAATGAGTGTATCATCCATCCCCACCAGCAGCAATTTTGACTTTAAACACTGTTCCTGGAATTGGATACCCTAAAAACCAGGCCTACCAGCAGCAAGGTGGCCTCACAAGACCCTTTCTTGAAAGCGGGGTCTGCTGTCTAAACTCTTCTCTTGCTTTTCACTTCAGTTGCTTGGCCCTATTCTAATCTTAATCCTGATTTTTGACACTTCCATCCTCACCTTGCAGTAGCCCTTCTCTTTCTTTCTGCAGTCCTACTTCAGTATTTTTGTTCCTGGCTCTAACTATTGTTACAGCTATTACCTGTTTCAGTCCTAATAGAGCACTAGGCACCTCCAAGTTCTGGTGAACAAACACTACAGTAATCCAAGTTATTCTCAGCCAAACTCCTTCAGAAAGAACGGGAAATGAAAAGATGCACCTGTTCTTTCACACCATCTATCAGGTTATTGAAATTGTGGATGTGATCCTGCAAAGTGCTAAAAGCGCTTTATTGCTGCTGCGCTGAGCATCCCTCTGAACTATGCTGTTTGTTTGGTAGATGAGCCAAACAACGCCTAGATTATTGAATGTCAGTCCCCCAGGAACAGAACTTCTATTTTCAGAAAAATCAAAATTTTCACTTTTTTAATTTACACTGAGATGTAAAGCTGAAATCTTATTGTATTTTCAGAAACAGAGGACTCTAAAAATTAGTGATATCTGTAAGCTTGAAAAAAATGTTTCATTTCTTTTTTCATCTGCAGTATGATGTGGCTGTTTTTAATTTGTGTTACAGATAATACATCTGTATAATCAATGAAAATTATATAAAGGAATATTATATAATTTAATAATATTAAGATGTTCTAATAATGAAATAAGCAAGAGAGTTAGGCACAGCGAGACAAAGAGAATAAATAGGATGCTTACCTGTGTCGTGGGCTTGCTCAGGAAACTCCAGTGGAGTGGATCTTCCAAAGAGAGAGAGATCCTTCCCCACTGGTAGTCAGCTCTTAAATGGGTCTAGGAGAGGTGGAGCCAGGCTCCACCCCTTCCTGTAGCACAGGTGAATTGCTTTCAGCTGTGCTCCCAGGGCTGCCTCATTGCTCGCCTCAGGTGATTAATCAGAGGTGATTAATCAGAGGTTCAGGCCGTGACTCAGCAGTTCCCATACAATATCAAACAATCAAAACAAGAAATGAATTGGCTTTCTGTCAAAGCTCTGCATTTATAGATATCCTACAACAGTGTTATGTTCCTGCCTAGGAATACTTCACAATTCTGCCTAGTTCATATTTTTCAATTACAAACTGTTCAGAGAGAAAATGTTGGCTGTTGAGTGTTTCTAACTATCAGAATATTTGAATGGTAATCCGGATGGGCAAGGTTTCCCAAAAGGACTGTAGGTGGAGCAGCTTACCTCGAGGTCCAAACATATAGTCCACAAATGCATTTACTTCCCGGTCAAAAGCTTTCAGGTGCTCCTAAAAATAAATACATAAAAAATAAGGATATAGGATAAAAACATCTTATGGCTCACATGGACAATGCAATTAAACAAGCAATAACCTGACAAAGAGCATGTCATGCTCAGGTATTTCCAGGGTATGATACATCGTGCTTCCTGACAAAAAACCAAACTTCTTTAAAGATGAAATGAGGACAGATTGTTGTATAGATGACAGTAGAAGCCTTACTGCTGGAAACCATGTTGGAAGTGAGGTTTACAAATGAACAACAATCATCAGAGCATATGTGATGGATGTTGTT